ACGTGTTTATTCCATACCGGCATCGAAAGCAACGTGCGGAACAACAACATTAAGCAATGCCTCTTTGTGCGCTCGTCTTACGCGCTTACTGTGGGGGTTATTGCAATAGATAGTGCTGTAATGCTTTAAACGGATATGAGTCTTCGTCTCTTGCACGCGCGCTGTGCTAGGAATCACATGATCACTGCTCGCGGCTTGTCGGAACATGAACACATGCAGTCTCACGGACAGATTATCACAGGCGCCCACAAACTCCACCACTTGAAATTCAATGCGGCAAGCTAATTCTGATGATTCCTGCTCTGCGTTTATTGATTCATAATAATTTTTCTTCAAGACCCGTGGAGGTCCTCTCAGATCCTTTTACGCTAGTTAACTGGCACGCGCGCGGCCCGGATTAAGCGGCATATATGATTTCTGACATTCACCGTACTTGTGTACAGAATACGCGAAATTCTGATGGCGTGTTTCCCTTTTACCGAAAGGACGATTGGATTGCGAGTATTGCGACGCTCTGTGTAGGTCCACTTTTCAGACGCCACATAGTTGTGCGCGAAATGACATATAGTGGTATGGAAAAGGGGTATTTCGTATTCATAATGAGCCTTTTATAATAATGGCTTTTAAATGGCACTATAGTGAGCATGTGCCGACCTTTCCTAAATCCTCTTCAGGCAAGACAATTTATATGTCTACTGAAATAATGAATCCAAAGACATGGTAAAATAGATAATCATGTTTAGCTCGGCTTCTGTAATGAGGGGATGATATATTTACGATTACATCCAAGAAACATGACGTCTCAATCCTACTGGGCAATAAAACCAGGCAGGTCCATCAATCGAATGCACGCTGTAAGGAAAACACGACAATTCGCTTCTATTTCTACACGTACTTCTGAATAGAAGGCATGACGGCAATATTCGACGTAGCGTTAATTGTAAAAAGACGTGGTCAGGACAATACACTAACTTCGGGAGTTTTGTACTGCTATGAGTGAAATGTAAATTAGTCCGCTGTTTGACAGAAAGGATAAGAAGAATCTGCTCATCTGATAGGATTTGGAGAAGGAGACTGTGGTTGCCGAAAGTCCTTTTTGCCATATGCCTACCCTCATCGATTCGTTGCCAAGAACATGGCCGAAAGAACACCTATGCTCTCGATGCTGAAGGCAGGAAAAAGAAGCTCTTCACTGGATTCCCATTTCCAGAGACGCCCCAAGTAATCTTTTAAAAAGACGCCTAACTCAAGCTGTATCACACATTGTTCCAGCAGGTGACACTCGTGCACTATTCTCCAGCTGTCCCATCCGAAATGGAAAGACCGAGACAAACTATCGACTCAGATCACCTCCATGGGCCCCTTCAGCTACCTAAATGGGTCATAATATATTGGTTGCCCGAGCAAAAGAACAAAAAGGACATCTTCCAACATGATTATTGAAGGGCCAAATAAACGATATCATCAGCTCTATTCTCACGCTCATGGTTGACACAGTTCATCGTATAAATTCCAGGGTGACTTTCAAAGTGATTAACAAATTTCAGTCAAGCTATCCCAAACTACTTGGACATCGTCTGTTGGCTACGGCAGTGCTCGCCATTTGGCAAAGCAAAAGGTCATATGCGCACAGAAGAACTGAATGCAAAGTTGTCATGGGTCAAAGCCACGAAGCCAACCGCCAGCATATAATTACCCTTCTCGCTGTCTGCCTTACCCATGACGCCACTAGAATTTTGGTATTTTACTCTTCCTCCCTCCCCAAACCCGAACTACAGCGCAATTAGTTACCTGCACACAACTTTACATTCATTAATTCAATTGCCATGTGAACTTACAGGCAGAAGGAGGATTTATCGAAAAAAGACGTTAACTAGCCAAATCACCTCTTGAGTTTTTTTCGGGAGTGTTTATGCAATCCTAAAATCATAGTTTTACTTTTAGACTCTCAGAAGGCACTTTACAAAGTAAATTAACGCCAAGTTCGTGGGGAGAATGCAGACAATATAGGTCGAATGTACAGACGAGTTAGGAAATTGTGCCTCTAAAATAGAAAATATTTCTCACGTCCGGCTGTGATTTGTTTCTTCACTCACGATACTTTCGTTAATGTGGACGACTCAGTGAAATCATAAGTGGGCCCTTTTGCATTAACACGAGAAGTCTAAGGAAATTGAAATTACTAAAAACTGTGTCAAAATAACGCTTTTTGCTACTGCTACTTAAGGAACACAAGTTTAACATAAAATTTTGACTACAAGTTCTAACGTCATGTGTCACAAACATGTTTTCATAAACACAGGCAAATATAGCTTGCAGACCATTATCTAGCAGTGCATTTATTTATATACAGGTTGGTCAATTCTCTGTCTTAATGAAAATAAAAGAGCAAGTATTTTCCCCTTAATTTTTGTGATCGCCAAATAGGAGCGTGAATATAAATATCTGGTTTGAGGCTTTTACTGCGGTAAAATTGATGCGGCCGGCTAGAGTAGCCTGTCCGCCGTCTGCGTCGTCTTCTATCCTCTCGATTTGGTCTTATTTACTCGAGCTATAATTCAAAAAATGGCAACAAAAATATGCAAAAAGATTTTAAAGTTAGAAGGCGAGATGGCATGTTGCTACAAATGTGTCCGCATTTTTTACTGCCCCAATTTTTCCGTGGTTGATAAATAAGCGGGTTGAAACATGCAGTCTAAATTTGTTTTTGGCTGACTAAGGGAGGACTAGTCTGTTGACCGTCCCTTCTAAAAGATTTAGCATAATGACCAAGCCCCCGGAATCCCGTATAACTCTCGGCCAGATAGGATCCATGTGTCTACTCTCTAGCTTTAGATAAATATATCTTTATGCCACTTGCTTCCAGTCTGGCCAAATACAAGGCGACTTAACAACTTAGGCCTAGTTTTCTTTGGAAAACGTGTTAAAGTAGAATGGTACACGATATCGTCTTGTCTATTCTTTGAAAATGCATGAACTGCTTGGCCGTTTTAGGATAAAGGGAAAAGGCCTACGTGGGAATGCCCTTCACTGACCTAGTTACTGCGCATTACATTTCCATGTGTGTTATGTCTCAGGGCTCAACCTGGAATTCACGCACACAGTCGCATTATTGCCAGTGATGATTTAAGTCACGGACTTGTGACCTGTGTCGTGTATACCACCTACCCGGATTGTGTTTTACACGAATCCTCATGTTACCTGACTTTGTGTTACTGACGCCTTTATACTTTCAGTTGATCCAACTACTAGAATGGGCATTGTATTTAATCAGTAAATGGCTTCGGAAGCCCAACAGGCCCGTTCTAATTACACCGTCATCTTTTCGATTTGCTCCAAGCCCCTAAGTATCACAAGTACTGACCACCATGGCTCCGTACCGGTGTTTTTCTTGGAATTGGTCGATTAAAGGGCGGTTGTAGCCCTTCATGAGCGTATGCCGTTCTTAAAGTCTTCTGTCAGATAAGCGCCTTGACTGGTTACAGCCGATCGTGTTTTTCTTCTCCTGCCTGATGTACGACGGAAAACAAGGATTAAATTTCCACGTCATTTACTTTATTTGCGCTCATCTTTCTGTAAACGTTCGGCGTGTTGCGGGCATGTCCACACTTCATGTTTCACGGCGATTCGTTGATAGCTGAACGAGCCAGGACAATAAGTATTTCTCCAAAACCTAAGTGAATAACTTTGAAGAATCATCTCTATCGTCAGTTTGAAATACGTTCATAAGCCCATGTTTACGTGTTTGCTCCAGGAGACCCATCCAGAAACAGCACCTATTGTATGGCATGCTCTGCCATGCATCAAGGACGTAGCAGAGGCGACCTAGCGCATTGATGCGAAACTAAGTGTTGGAAGTGCACACCGGTCTAAGTCCACCATCGAACGAGCCGCGACTTGGGAGTTGGCGTTGTTCTTCCCCACCGCTGCTACATGCTCGACCATTCGTGTCCGGAGTGGTCTTCCGTTTTCTCCGACATAGCTGCTTTCCCCACAACTACACCAACCATACTTTAAGTTTGACGAGACTGAAATTTTTGTTAGAGGCGACAATAACGTGAGCCGCGGGCCGCACGAGCCATGATTTTCTGGTCCTCAACCAAACAAAAAGCTCAACGACCTCCCCCTTCCACGTTCGGCCCTGAGACTTTGCCCAGGCAGGGTAGTTAACCGCAAGGAGAGCGTGTGGATAAGCGCCATTCGTGGACTCAATGTCGGCGAGCCAAATTTCTCAGGAGTCCACACGTATGACAAAATCCAACAGTCAGAAAGTCGACTGAGTGCGATGAGCGTAGGAGTCGATAATCTTGAGCGGTACACAGACGCATAGCAACTGCATGGCGGCTGCATACTTTAACACCTAGTCAGTCGAGCCGTGATGCAATCGGAGCTGCCAGCTGTGGTAGGCATGTGGCGGCCTATCAACTACACCCCAGAACTACTGTAGCACCTGGGAAATCCACTACCCATATCTGACTCCGTCTCTGATGGTGGATTCGACTGAGAGTCCGAAACGTCAGGCTAATGAAGCTCCTGTTCCAGCCATCATGCCTCCCTCTTTGCACATGCAGGTTATTGTCGGCGGCATTTTGAGGTTCGGCTTAAATTCGAAACCATCCTCACTTTAACTTTCAGTCGGCACACTTGTAGACACTCAGTTGCGTAGAAAATGTAATTTCCTACGTCCACACGAACTTTGCCACTTGCGTAGGCTAAGTATCTTAAAGTCGTCGGTTTACTCTTTTGGGCGGTGGGTTGCATTTGAAAAGCACGCGTTTGCCTTGTTTTCTAGCCAGTATATTTTAATTATTAGATTTTTAAATTATCGGTTTCAATCACAGGTACATGTCAAGGGCCACAGTTGCACGGGCTTTGGAGGATGCTGGTTTGTCTACGGATGTGGTAGCAAAGGAATTTGCAAAACTTCGCGGCAGTCACATGGATGACATATTCCTGAGTGAATGCCTTCAACTGTTGGAAAAGACCAAGGATATCGGCCCCGACCCCGGAGCCTTCGCCAGCCTTATCGAATACACTCGAGAAAAATTAAACAGCGGACACTGGAGCGAAGTGCCCGATTGCTGGCGTATTTCCTACGCACTACTCCGACTGGCCTCTGCTATCGTTCGCCTGAATGCTGCCTCAGCAGACAGTAAAGCCACGTGCCAGTTAAAGTTAGCTCTTTGGGAGCTTGATGATGCCCTGATCATGGGCTTCTGCGACCTCAACGAGGGTATAACGAAGCTAGCCAGTTTTCTGAATAGTTTGACAGATGACCCGTCTGACCATCGCTTCCCCAAATCTTATCCCGAGCCGAGCTCCGGTGCTGTTGACTTGGAGGCGTTTAAATTCAAGGGCGAAAGGATTTCAGTCTTGCAGCGGGTGCATCAACCCTCACCCAGCGAATTTATGCGGATTCTAGCGCAGGGTGTGCCCGTAATCATCACCGGTGCCATGAAACACTGGCGAGCACTCAATCCAACCAACGCACACTACTGGTCGCCTTCCTATTGGTCCAAATGTGCTGGCCGCCGAACCGTCCCCGTGGAGGTGGGCTCAGCTTACACAGATGACAAGTGGGGCCAGCGTTTGATCACAGTTGATTGCTTTCTAGAGCGTTTCATCTTACCCGGTCTGGAGCAGAAGGACCAGCAACCGTCCGGCTACCTGGCTCAGCATCAACTCTTTCTCCAGATTACGGAACTCGCGGACGACGTAGATATACCTGAGTACTGCTACGTGGGCGGCCCAACAGACAGTGAGACTACAACCATTGACAGTAATATATGGTTCGGTCCTGCCGGCACAGTCTCACCCCTGCATCACGATAGTGACAGGTCGAACGTCCTCTGTCAGGTGATCGGCAAGAAGTATGTTAAGTTGTACACAGCCGATCAGACTGACCTGATCTACCCCCACGGCGATTCCATGCTTTCCAACACCTCACAGGTGGATGTAGTTGCTCCACGGCTGGAAGAGTTCCCCCGCTTCGCCAATGCCTCTGGCTTCCATGGCTGCATTGAGGCCGGCGAGATGCTTTTCATTCCGCCTCGTTGCTGGCACTACCTCCAATCCCTGTCATGTAGTATATCATTGAACTTTTGGTGGAATGTCTCCCCAGACTTCATTCCTCAATGGCCACCCTCCTACACTGCCGCTGCAAGCAGTAAACAAAGTGATAAAACCTATTGATTGCTATGATGATGTATTTTTCTTATAAATAAAGCAGTTTTTAAAAGTACTATTATATTTCTGCTCAGGCGTTTCTTTGGTATTTTGTCTGCGATGGACTTTGCTGTTAAGCTGGCTGGTTGGCTTGTGACAAGGTATGCTATGTTTGCTCTTGTCTCATATAATCCAACCGCAACGACCTTCTTCAGTATTAACAGCAGTATTAACTGCTGCCAATCAGAAGACACTACTTGAACTTGTTACGGCGTTCATCATTACGACTCAGCTTGGATTTTCATGGCATGGCTGCTGGCTGCGTACCACTGCGGTTGGTCGGCGGCAAACTTCCGATGGGAGTTGGGCTGGTCTATACGTCGGCCTCGCAGATCCGTAGACTCTAGGTTCGCTCGAGACCAGCTTTTAGCACGGTGCGACGATACCGTCTGCTGCGTCTGGGGTGCCTGCAAGCACCTGCCAGGTTAACTAGTATAATTGAATGCTATGGGGCCAGTCTTGTCTTCACCGGCTCGCTGTAGACTCATATTAGCGCTTTAATGTACTATTTGGTTCACCACACACTTCTAGGTCGCAGCCCGTCCTCGTCGCAGCCTGGGA